TCACAAGTGCTTTTTGTGGGGTGGGGGTGGGGGAAAATGCAATGAAAGAAGCAGACCATAGACATGCATAGCCCTTTTAACTTCTTTCCACTATTAGTCAATGGTACTAGCTAGTGATTCAAACCAAATAAAGGATATTTTTAAGAAGACCAACAAGGGTTTTCTTTTTTTACACTGTGGAATTATCTGTGATCATCTCATTGACATGAAATTAGCATTTCCTATGTTCATGGAGTTCACATGCTCAAAAGCCAACCACAAGAACTTCATTTCCGCTAATCCAAGATGTCTTTCAATAACAGATAGAAATTCTCCTCTTTTATACAGGCCATACTTCTTCCTGAACGTTTCACAGGAAATAACTATAAGCATCAAAGCAGGAGCCTGTTTACTGCTTTACTTCAATTAATAATAGTTAGGTTATACATGTATGATTACTAATCATAACAGTGCTAATTGAAATTATTTTCTCAGTGACAAAAGTAGTGGCCTGATCAAGATTAACCCTGAGGTAGTTTAATCATGTGGAGACAATGCATGGAAAGCAAACTGCAAAAGAAATTATAAGGAGTAAATGGGTGACAGAAGGTGGAAAGCCAAGAATGTTGTGATTGGATGGAACTGATGAGGTCCTCAAAAGGACGACAGTGAGGAATTAAAAAAAACAACAACCAGGGTATGAAGTGCTTTATGAGAAGAGTAGAAGGAAAGATAGTTTGCAAGGATAGAAAGGGATGGAGAGATGGAGTGAATGGTGTTGCTGTAAACTAGATATGGCTAAATTTTCTTCACATCTCATGTCTTTTACTTCTTTTGCTTATTATTATCTTACTGCTTTTCTGTGTTTTGTGTATATATGTATCTGTAAGTATTGTGCACAAATCTAAAATTAATTCTCTCTAATTTACTCTTATTCTATCCAGAAGAGCAATTACAGGTAACAAGAGCTTCAGTCATTTTTCTGACCTTATTTTAAATATACCTCTGGACTAATCTTTGGTTTGGATTCAGACTTAACAACATGCAGAGCGCCCTCATAAAAATGAGTGGAACTTCAGTCATATCTCATGTGTTTTAGTGGTATGTCTAAATCTTAGTCCAACTCATTGTGGGCATCACTATATAAACAATTATATTTCTTGATAAACTATTTGGAGTAATGCCAGCCATTACTATACAGTAAAACTGTTCCAATATTTAGATCCTGTATAAACTCCACTCTTTCACCAGTGATCAGAAATGAAGCAGGGGAGGGCTGCAGTTGTGTGGCAATCTGTAGGCTTATTTATATTCCTACATGTTTCATAGTCACAATCAAAAGACTTTGGGTGAGTTTCAGCACAGTAAAAAATATAAAACAATGCAAAACAATATATGAAGTCCAAACACTTCTTCCAAGATGGACACCTAAGCAATTACGTGGGGTTAAAAGCTTGGTGGAACAGGGGCAATTTTGACTGCTTTTCAAAACACCATGAGGAACGGGCTGTGTGGACCTCTGCAGGTAGAGACTCCCATGTGTGAGGGCCGCAAAAGAAAAGACTTGCTGCCTTGTCCATGTCCTCATAAACACCAATGGTGGTGGTGGGACTCTCAGCATGCTTTCTCGATATGCTCTTACCATGTGGGCAGAAATTTGAACCTGGCAAGGTGGTGTGCAATTGATCATAACGCTATACCAAAAAGGTAACCAGAGCAATGATTTTAAAAGCAGAAGTTATCCTGCATTGGCAGGTTGCCAGGAGTCTTGCCACCGCATTCTGAATCAGCTGCAGCTTTGGGTCATCTTCAAAGGCTGTTTCACATAAAACATGTCACAGTAATCTAGCCAGGTAGTGATCAAAACATGAGTTACAATCATCAAAGCATCCTGATCTAAGTTAAGTCACAATTGGTGCACCAGATGAAACTGGGCAAAGTTTTCCCTGGCCACTTCCTCCACCTGTGGGTCCAACAAAAGCCATGAATCTAAGAGGATCCCCAAATTGCAGATCTCATCTTCCACATAAGCAAGATCCCATTAAGAGTGTCCTGGGAACCACAATAAGGCAATTGGTTTCTGGACAAACAGTAACTCTGTCTCACTGGGATTCAGTTTCAGTTTGTTTTATCTCATTTAATCCACATACAGCTTCCAGAGACTGGGTGAGGATGTCCATAGCATCTTCTACTTGGCCTGAGGTGAAATTTATAACTAGATACCATTAGCATACTGATGATACAGTATCCCAAAGCTACAGTTGACTTCTCCCAGTAGTTTCATATAGATGTTGAACCGTGTGGGAAAGAGAGCTGAACCTAGGAGATAACCTGCATGATAGGGCCAAATACCACTCCTATCCTTCATTACATTGGTTCTTGGTCTCAGGTCTAAGATCAAAGTGTAGATTATTCGCCATCGCTACAGAGTGGAACTGCCTACTCAAGAATGAGTTGAATCACTGTAAAAAAGCACCCTCAATACCCAACCCAACATACAATCATTGTCTGAGGAGAAAGGAAGGCCCATCCTTTCCAACAAGGTGCAGGCCATCTAAAACAGCATCTGTGGACTACATTGAGGTGACACAATAAGAGTGAAAAAATACAAATTGCCACCCTTATCACCACAATACAGACTTGGACCTATGTTTGATCATACTCACTCCTCATCTTCTGTTACCATGACTCTATGCCTATCCTTCATCTCCTGGAAATTTTTGCTAAATCATGGAGCAGCCACTTAGGGGCAATCAGATCCAGAGATCAACAAGGAACTTCCAGCAAACAACTATAAAAAATCCCAACTGCCTGCTGAAAAAACACTAAGGTCATTTAAAAAAACAACAACAGTAGGCCATTCTAATTAGTCCCCCATCCTTGTGACGCTTGATGGTATTGATGAGCTCCATCCTGACCATAAAGTGATTTGCCAAAGAACTATCATGTCTTCCAACTTCAGATCACAGGCCATCTGCTTCGAGGCAAGGATTGCATCTGGTTCAGATGTTCCAGCAGTTATGAGTCCAAGGCTGGAGAGGTACACTGACAAAGCCTTGCATATGTTCATTGCCACCTCCATTTCAGCCTTGGAGTGAGATAGGACTACCTCCTTCATCTTTGTTCAAACAGATCTCAATATGAGTCTAAGTCCACTTATTTCCTCCCCAATAAAACTGTGGAGGAATAAGATCTTATTACAAATAGACCTTTAGTCACTAATAGCAGCCTGAGGCTAAGGCATCCAGCAATCTAAAATCCAGGACCTACAAACAAGGTAGCTGGGTTGGAAGAAGGGCACCAAATTGCTGATCCCGCTTCTCCTGGAATGGTCAGTCCAGTGCCTTCTGTTATATTTCTCTTTGCCTATCATAATAGAAATTGACTCCTTACTCTCTTGACCTCTCCTGATGGCCTTCCAAGCTCTCCCCCAAAATCCCAGTATGGAGCATCCCACCAAGAGTTTCTATCCTTCCCATATCCCCTCCTTCTCAAGCCACATCCACATAACCACAATCCAGCATTTCTCATATTCTTACGGGTCCCCTTCAACTAGGGCTTATAGATCGAGGGTAGACCTTCTTGTATTCTCATGCTGATGGGGGGATCCTTAAGAGAGTTAAAATATTGTTACCAATTGTACTCCTATCATCAATCATGATCATGGCAGGAAACATAGAGAATCATGGCCAGCACATATCTGCAACAACTCCTCTACATCTCCAGATAGACCTTTTACATGGCCAAAGGCTTGAGGTAGAGGAGAAAGCAATGGGTCCCAATGAGGACAGCATGGGCTTGCTGACTCCCAGACCAATGAAAATGGGAAACATTTTTCCTCTTTCTAGTCTTTCTTCATGTCAAGCTCCAAACAGCAGTGCATGACCAAGAAATGAGATTCATACATAAGTCTCAGTAACCAGGTTTAATGCAAAGAAAAAGGAGTTACAGAATCTTGAAGTCTAGTCCCCATGTATTAGAGAGAACATTAAGGCAGAGTCTCTGGGTGTGATTTGATTCTCTTTTTCATAAACTCCTTAACGGATGGAATAATGACTCACTTAGGAGATAAGGTTGGAATGTCCATCTGGTCCTTGTCTGCCATATTTTGGAAACATTTTTCTTTCTCCCAGATTCAAGAGAATTCCATTACATCCTAACTCTGCATGGCAACAACTGCAGGGCATCTGACTCCCAGCAATGGGAGTGGAAGTTAACAGTGGCCCCCTTGACTACAAGTTCCCTTCCTTCCACTGAAACTTCTCTCTGGGGTTGGTAAGATATACCAAAAAGCACAAACCTGCTTTTTAAAATTGATAAAAGCAGTTTGATGTTGCTAGAGATCCTGCTGTTCAAACACTTAAACACTGTGACATCCATTCCCAAAGAGTAACGTAGATAGATATTATCCTACAGTCCAGAATTTCAGTTATATGTGCTAAATGGGAGTAGAAACCCAATCGTTGAGAAAGCCAATCGTTGAGAATTCAGAGAGAAGACTGTCCTGTTTCGTCTAAAATCCCAGAAAAAGCAGATCCTCTGTGTATACCATTCTTATGTAGCCACTTATCTGCACTAACACATACTATTTGCATATGAACAGCAAGCATGTCCAAACCATATTAGCCCAGGCCACGCACTAGTGTCTTTAATGACCGGCTTTCTTTGAAAGAGCAGCATATACGAAAATATGATTAGCAGGAATGTACAAAATCTACTATTTCAGGAACTCCTCCAGACCATGACAATCCATTCATTCTGGGAGTGATGCAGTAGATTTTTGGAAGTTACTCCTTCAAACCAGAAACAGATTTTGCACATACCCAACAGTACATTACCTAGTATTTTTGGATCGCTTATAGTAATGAAGTTAAAAAGTTTGAAAGTTCATTTTGAAGGACACAGTCTTGGCCTGATTTAGTAAAGTTTCCCATATTAAAAAGCAAAACTGTTTTACTTTCTTATAAGAAAGGCTCAAACCAAATATTTGAAAAAAAGAAAGCCAACAAATAAGTTTGTACCTATTGTTCTTCGAAGATCTTCACACTGGCTAATGTGAGGAAACTTCAGGATTTCCTTCCATTTTTTGCTTTTACCTTTGCGCTTTCCTCCACCCCCTGTAGGAGAAGAACGGATTCTGTTATTAAGTTTGTTATTATAGCCAATTCTCATTTTCCTTATACCCTGCCTCCCTCCACAAACACACACTCCAGCTGTTGTTTGGTACATTCATGCATGTACATATTTTTACAATACCCATTGTTTTCAGTATCATAAACTAACTGATGGGGGTTTCTAGGACTGTGGTTATAAAGATATGCAACAGTTACTGGGCAACTGTAAACACTTCCTCCTCTTGTTCCAAAAATAAGCAGAATGGCCAGTTGCTGCACAGACAGCCATCTGTATAACAGGAAGCAGCCATATGCAGAAAGACTGTGATGTGTGTGTGTGTGTGTATCCATATGCCAGTCAAACTGGGAGCATCATCCAAAGTCTTGTGCCTTATCTACTGAACAATGAATAATCTTTTTCCCTGACAAACTCACTTTATGCAACATTGGTACCAAAGTACTGACTGGGCTGCATAACTGTCAACCTGCTCCACAGACCTGTTTCTGCCTATCTATGCTTACAAAAACTTGGTTTTAGATGGCCAATTAGTCTGAGCAATGATAAGCAGCAGTAACACCCTTTTTGTACCTTATTTCATTTCACTATCATTTCTGAATTTCATCCAACACCTTGGGTTCTTAGGGACAGCATACAGACCATGGAGATTAACATTCCTGTCACTAACTCGTTTGTGCCCAAAGCAATGGCATTCTGCAATGCCAGTCTCTAGCATCATCTTCCTCCACAGGAATCCTTTGCATCCCACACAGAGTTTAAAAGCATTCTCAGGAAATAAAACTGGTGACTGGAAGCAGCTGAGTGTTGGATTTAATGTATGTTTGAAAACAAAGGCAAAACTTACAGAGGGCATCTATGAACACCAACTTTCAGTCAGAAGACACGATAAACTTCTTAGTCTCACAACACATGGACAGACTCAACCATAGTTTCAGCTGGGAAACTGTGAGCATCTAGACCAAGCTAAATCTAAAAATGCTAGGAAATTCCTGGAAGCTTGGCATTCAGATAAATCAGCCATTGATGGACACATAGAGATAAGCACATTTAAACATCGTTCAAAAGTGACTATAAAAACGCTAAGAAGGAAACAAAAATACCAGAACACATCCTCTCAAGCAGCCAACACCCAGATAAGCAGAAAACAATACCCTAATCAAGGAACTAACCAAGGAGAAAATCACACCCCCACCAACACTGGCAGGGCAAGCTGCTACATATAAACAGGCAGCAAACTCCACACTCACTAGCACTGATGATGTTACCTAGTCGGGTAATGAAATGTCTGCAATCAAACAACGAAGCTCAGAGAGTGCCAAGGACCCCAACAAAAGCAAAGTTAAGATACGGTAGTAGACAGCATTTGGGGGAATTGAAGGGAGTGGAGGGGGGAGTGGAACAACTTCACCTGAGTGCCCTTCTGCTAAATTGACTTTTGGGGATTAGCACCAAGCACTATGGCAGCCATTCCAGTGACTGCAAGTTAGCCATTTTGTGTGAATACTCACAATATATTCTTAAATTTTAAAATGCCAGAATTAACATATTTGTCAGGCTCCCCAGCTTGAATTCAGCAGAAGCTATCCAGATTCTCAACACAAGATGTTTAGATAAAAATCTTTATTGTTCTAAGAAGAAGCAGTTGAATCTGTCAGCAGGACTACAGTCCCCTCTTAATCCCACTGCAGTTTAAATCTGGTGATTTGTCTTCTCCCTTAACAGAAACTTTGCTTTGCACTCCTTTGACTTGGTGCTCAGTGTAAATTGATTATTGACACAATCAGTGTTCCTGCTCTGGAAACATTAGCACTCCTGGAACTCCCACAGTTTTTGTCTTTAAGATACCAAAATGCTCTGTTGTTTTTTGCTGTGCAGCCCACAACAGATGCCTAAGTGGAGCCTGGCGGGAGCACAATGCAGAAAGATGGAGAAAGACTAACAAATGTTCCATCGCAATGCAAACTAAGGCGAGCATGAATCTCCTTGGGGCTTTGGCTGCACAACTTCATCAACAGTAGATCCACTTGTATGAGTGAATGCAGTTTTGTTGCAAGGGATGCTACTGGTTGTCAGGATTAGGTTTGGTTCCCCCTCCCCATGCAATAAGTATGCTCTAAACAGTTAACAAAACTGAATAATTAATCAGTGTCAAAATAAAAATGATCGATGTAATTAAATTCAGTAGATTAGAAATAAAATGATGGCAAATAGCAAACAGGAAGGAAGGAAGGAAGGAAGGGAGGGAGGGAGAGAGGAGAGGAGAGGAGAGGAGAGGAGAGGAAAGGAAAGGAAAGGAAAGGAAAGGAAAGGAAAGGAAAGGAAAGGAAAGGAAAGGAAAGGACTAAGATGCCATCCAATAGGGTTGGGTGCTTAATCTGAGGCCCTGGAGCCCCTTCCCCCAACTTAAACCACAGTTGCGGAAAAGCAGCAGTATGGTTTCCTACTTTTTGAGATAGAAGCACATGAAAGTTGTAGTATATTTGTTGAATATGTATATTCCATACACTATGTTTTTTTTAAAAAAAAATAAAACACCCTCTGGCCAACCTCCATAGCATGAGGGGAGAAAAGGTGGGGGCGGGGAGAGGAGAGAAAGAGCAATTTCTGGTTCCATCCACTTAGATGACACAAACTCACATTCTTTCTGCAGTTGCTCTGTCCACTGTAGGTTATGCTTTCAAAGGAACAAAATGTTTGGACCACAATTTGTTGTTTACCCTTCAAGCAATACCCAAGTTAAAATATTGCTAAAGGAAAGAGAAGACTTTTAGGGTGGATGGAATACCAACCAAATATCTATATACTGCAAAAATTTTCATGTCTGTAACCTTCAACTGAGCGAAACAGTGCATCATAGAGGAACAATTTTTGAACCAAGGTACCTCAGATGGGCTAATTTACAGAATGCATCCAAAATCTAGGACCCATTACTCCTGTGGGATTGCAATTTGGGAAATTTGTGGCCACTTCAGGACTGCTGTTCTGCTATGCCACCATGGTCAGCCCAGATCACATGATCATCATGGGTGTATCCCCAACATCTTTCCCCTTTGTCCCCTATGCCCAATTGGCCGGCAGCAAGGCCTGATGAGCAAGTGGCAATTAGCTGCTTTCTAAACAAGGAAGAAAACTGAAATTTCTTAACAGCGGTGGGCATTGAGGGAAGGATGAGGGAGTGATTTGGATGCCTGCTGGTGAGGTAGGGCTGGCTGGGAGCTGCTGGTGGTGGATGGGTGAATCCTCTTCCTCCCTTGAGGGAGGGGGCCCTTGGGGACAAACCAGAATGGGGAGTGGGGGTGCAGTTTTCCTCATGGTCTGTGACTCCCTTTGTTCCACCTCCCCCCAGCAAAGTGGCAGGCAGTTCCATGGGTCAGCCAAGGAGGAGGAGGGGGCTTCACCACGGCTCTCCTGAAAGTTGTGAGGGGAGGGCAAATGGTGCAAGCCTGTATTATATGAGGGAGGGAGGGAGGGAGGGAGGGAGGAAGGAAGGAAGGAAGGAAGATTTCTGATGCTCCCTGCTAGCTTCCTATGAGCAAAGTCAATGAGGAAGCTGGCGGCAAGCTGCAAGCTGCTCCCACTCCCACTGCTTTTTTGCCCTTGGTCATTCTGTTTCTCTGTTTAGGTAAGGAAATATCTCTGAATCATGACCCAACAGGTCACGGGTTGTCTAGTCTCACCTAAATACTTGGAGCAGAATCTCTCACCCAAGAGGCACTACTAGAGAGAAAACCCACACGTGCCTATCTGCAAGCCACTTCCACTTGCCTTCAAAGATAGGTAGATTCACAGGGGAGGAGTAGGTTGACATTTTTTTTGTTGAGGAATTAAAGGTAATAAAGAATACTTTGAATAGCACTGCCAATTGGCAGCTCGTGTGTCCAACCAAAAGTCTGGCTCCAACATTATGCATCACGTGAGGGTTGCTGAATAGTTTTCATCATATAATGTCTAATTGTACCTGGTATAGATGCAGCTAGACAAAAGTATTGTGGGCCACAGTTACCAGGCCCCCATCTAGCATGAAGGAAGGTGCTAGCACTATATTCCCCTTTAGGTCTTATGTCCAAAGACGTGTTTGGATTTGTTCTGAATCGGTTCTTTAAAAATTGACCTAGTGAATGTTCTCACCTTTAATCTTATTTCTCCTGTACATTATCTTTCTTTTCAACATTACATCTTTTTGTTCTTTCTCAGCTAAGTCTCTGCATTCATTGTCTATAGGCTTTTATGTGAAGAGGATATAATTCTGCCTTGTCCTACATTTCTTAATTTGTTTAATGCGGCACACCCCATTAAACACCATCACACACGTGCCTTTTATTATTTCATTAAATTTCTCTACAGCCCAGTAGCCAAATCTCACAGGGTGGCTCATAAATGAAAATTTTAATTCGTAACATGTCAGGAACATTATAAAACATAACGCAACACCTAAAAATGTATCTAGAATAGAACCAGAATAATATCATTAACAGTTTAACAACATTAACAGATTTTTTCAAACATGATAAAGAACTAAAACTCCTTGAAAACACATACAAATATCTACTTTCTTAGTAAATAATGTTATTTCGACCTCTGTCTTTTTCCTTTGACTCCTGACCTTATTCAAATTCTATTATATTAAAAAGGTATTTTAGGAAATGCCTTACTTACAGGTTCAAAAATTATGCTTGGGCATCCTTCTTTCTCTAACCTGGGGTCTGCCAAATATATTAGCTATTACTAGCAGGGGATGATGGGAGTTATAGTTCTAATTCCTAATATTCCTAGGAAATTCACAGAACTGGATAAACATCAATCACTAGAGCATCAAGCAATCTTATCGAGCTTGGCAATTTGTACATTCCATTACTTACAGCATCAAGGAGAATCTGAAATAGTGATTACAGGCATTAAATGCAGAAGAATAAAAACAGTGTGAAGTAATTATAGCGCAAATGAATGAAGCAGAAGCAAAGAATTGTTATCATGAGACACAAAT